GAACAGATACCATGACTAAGGCAACTCTTGTAAGGATAACATTTAATTGGGTCTGGCTTACAGGTTCAGAGGTTCAGTCCATTATCATCAAGACGGGAACATGGCAACATCCAGGTCGGCATGGTATAGGAGGGGCTGAGAATTCTATATCTTTATCTTAAGGCTGCTAACAGAATACTCACTTCTGGGCAGCTAAAACTAGGGTATGAAACAGTGACAAACCTACTCCAACAAGGCCACACCTCCTAGTAGTGTAACTCCCTGGCCCGAGCATATACAAACCATCACACCAACTAATTCTGCTTTTGAAGAAACCCCATTTTGTGTGAGACCAAGGGCTAAACTCCAATCCCAGGTAGAAAATCAGAGTCGTCTTGGGCAAGCATCCTATGGCAACCCACCCCCCTTAGCAACAGCCAGTCAAACTATAATAGCAAGGTTAAAGTACATAGAGATAACTTAAGATATCCTGCAGAAAATAGGTCATTTAGTCATCCTGTCTGTCAGGTGGTTTTGTCCCCCAGTTCAATTCCTGCAGATTACACTAGAAATGCAGTTTTTAAAATATTCACTTGCTGTCTATATGGAAATTCTCCACATTTGTTGTAACCACAATAAAAACCTTGAATCCTAGACCCAGGGCTCTCACTCTGACCCACTGCGATGGCCAGAATCTGAGAGACCTTGCTCAAAGGCACATAGTAAAGACCCTTATGTGTTTTCTATTGGAATTGGCTCCCTGGTGGTCTTTGGGTACCTGAAACTTGGGCATAACACCCTAATCCTTAACCCCTAACCCCCAGCCTCTAACCAAGACTAACCAAAATAAAGGAGAAAGAGGAGAGGGAGGGGGGAAGGGGGAAGGAGAGAGAGAAGAAAAGGAAGAAGAGAGGAAAGGAGAGGAAAAACAAGACATAAGTTAGCCTGGGTGATGTCCCCTGAGTAATGAGCAACGCAGCTCTGGTGTAGTTAGCCACAGTAAGGTAAAAGAGGGCCTCCTCTCCAGGTGTTGACTTTTCAGTAGACTAGAATGACAAAGTAGACTGGAAAACAATTGCACCTGATGTACAAAGCCTTTGTGAAAAGGAAACTGAAAAAAGCTTATGAACCTGTGGAGTCAGGTGCCACCACAGACAGATTAAACCACTGTAGTGGACATCATGGTGTGTGGGGGGGTATCAGGTGGGCCATGAGGAGGTGAGGGCTTCAGAGCCAGCACTGGACATGATGCAGAAAAGAACACTGACCCCGAGGGCTTTAGTTTCTCTCTAAGAAGGTGTCAGCTAGGGTTCTACTGATGTGATAAAACACCATGTGGATCAAAGGCAACTTATAGAAAAAAGCATTTAAAGAAGGGCTTGCTTACAGTTTCAGAGGGTTAGTCTATGGCTCTAATGGCGGGGAACATGGCAGCAGGCAGGCAGGCGTGATGCTGGAACAATACCTGTGCGCTTACATCCTGACCCTCAGACCACAGGCAAAAAAGGGAGACAGAGGCTGGCAAGGGCTTTTGAAACCTCAAAAACCACATCTTCCAACAGGCTGATGACCTGGTTTGGGGGAAAGGAGCACTCTCATTCCACCACCACATTCCAACTCCATGGCCACAAGCTTGTAGCTACATATAATAATACAAAATGCACTTAGTTCAACTTCAAAAGTTCCCATAGTCTTTCATGGTTTTAACACTGTTTAAAATTCCAAAGCCAAAAGTCTCTTCTGAAACTCAAGGCAATCTCTTAACCAAAACTCCTTGTAAAATCAAAAAGCAGATCACATACTTCCAACATACAATAACATAGCATATACATTACCATCCAAAAAGCAAAGATAGGAAAGACTGGACCAAAGTGAGACTGAAAACCAACATGTGAAACTCCAAATTCTATGTCTCCATGTCAGATGTCCACGGGCTGAGATGACGTTTTATTCTCCCACTCCTGGTCTACACCCTGTCTGCCCTCTGCAGGTATCCCACAACTCCGGCATCTCCAGCGTCCAGCAGGCTCTCTAATGCAATCAAGGCTAAACCTTCACAGCTTCATGCAATGGCCTCTCTGGGCCTCCATGACGGAACTACCCTGACACATGCCTGGCCACAGAGGCTTCCCTTCATCTGGGAGGAAGATTTCACAACCCCTTTCCTGTATCTTTCATGACTGTAAATCCGGAACCACGAGGTCAAAGCTGTCAGATCCTTTTGTTTGCCTGGGATGGAATAGGGGCCCGCGAGCTCCTTCAATTACATAAGCATGAACTTTCCCTTGATGAAGGTTTCCCTCCCTACATAAACTCCTTACTACAGGCTGCAGGATTAGCTGGGTGGGTCTTACCCTGAGGTACTATCCTTTTGTTCTAATTAGCTTCAGGCCTTTCTTTAAACTTCTCATCTCCTTGAGCACAGGACTTGGCTCCAACATTCCATTCACGGATACTCTTTTTTTTTCTCCTCAAACTGTACATTTTGTATTTCTTTTTGCCATACTTGCTCCTTTTCACTGTACTTTTGGATAAGAGTGACCACTAATAACCATGTGACACTGGCAATACACTAAGCTGTTGTAAAATCTCTGCCAACAACGTTAGTCCAAAACTCTTCAATTTTGCTTCTGGCAGCTTTTTTGGACAAAGGCAAAAAGTGACCACATTCTTTGGCAAAATATCACAAGAAAGGTCTCTACCCTAGGCGCTCTTACCCCCTCTAAAACCTCTCATACACCAGACCTCCACAATCCACACTGCTCTGTCTCCCATGCTCCCACCAGGATGATCCACGGAGCCTGCTTATAGCTAGAAGTCCAAAGTCCTCCATATTTCCCCCAAAATAGCATTTTAAGCCAGACGTCAGCAGGCTCCCAGATTTGAGTACAACTGACACCGTGGCAGAAGTACCATCCGGACCTGGGAATCTGCCTGTAGGCAGCAACCCCTGCCAAAACAAAACAGGCTACTGCTCCAGTAGACCTAATCCATCAAAGTCCTGGGGAAGTCCCTAAATGTACTAACCTTGTTTTTTTGGCTTCTGTAGTTCTGCTTCTAGCTAACCAATCTTGTTAACTGAAGTATGACAATCCAAGATATAATTTTTGTTCTTAAAAGCTCACCTTGTGAAGACTCAATACCGTACTCAGGTCCCAAATACCTAGGCAGGCTGGCTAATAAAGACTTTCCATTGGTTTGAAGCACTGTGTGTGAGTGGCCTTCTCTGGTGGATACCTTACAACATCATAGTAACACCCCAGTGCCTGGGTGACAACTTAGTCACTGTTCTATTGCTTTGAGGCGATACCATGACCAAGGCAACTTACAAAAACTGAAACATTTAGCTGGGCGGGGGAACTTGCTTATAGTTTCAGAGGGTCAGCCCTGATTATCATGGAGGGGAGCATGGTGGCAGGAAAGCAGGAGCCTGATGCTTGGGCAACAAGCAGAGAGAGACTGGGACTGGCAAGGGCTTTTGAAATCTTAAAAGCCATCCCCAGTGACACACCTCCTCCAAACAAGGCCACACCTCCTAATCCTTCCTAAACTGACTCAGAACCAAACAATCAAATATATGAGCTTATTGGGGCCACTGTCATTCAAACCACCACAGAAGGCCAGACAAGATGCCTCACCTCACTGCAGTGAGTACTGAACTCCTTCACTACGTAAGCACCTACTATCAGCACATTTTGGACACAAAAACGTGAGAGAAAAGTCAGACCCAGTCCGTAAGTTAATCCTCCTGTACAGGAGACGTGAGTGATCAATCAGGCCCGGTCCGTAAGTTAATCCTCCTGTACAGGACACGTGAGTGATCAATCAGGCCCGGTCCGTAAGTTAATCCTCCTGTACAGGAGACCTGAGTGATCAATCAGATCGCACATCAATGTCACGTCAAGTAGTAACGGCTGTTCTGAAAAGCACAAACAAGAAGGAGAGAGAGAGGTGAAGGCCCTGATAGCTCAGGCAAGCCCTCACAGAGGACTAATGTGATCAGAGGGTGAGGGCACAGCTAGGCTGAGGCCGGAGGCTGTGAGACTGGGTTGAAAAAGTGGCTAGAACATAGCTGCAGAGGCAGGGGAGGGGCAGAAGGCATGGCCAGACTCTAAGGTGGGACACTGTAGGCCTCAGGAGTAAAGCCAGAGCAAGGAGCCATTAGAATGAGAACGGACCGTTGTTTAAGATTTATTTTAAAGTATGTATGTGTGGGCAGGGTAGGGGAGTGTTCCTACAGAAGCCAGAGAGTTGGATTCTCACAGAGAGCTGTGAACTAGACACCTGACATGGGAATGGGAGGAGAACTTGGATCCTCTACAAAAGCAACACACACTTTAACCCTCTTAACTACTGAGCCATCTCTCCAGAACTTTTAGATGTACTGAAGGCCCTGCAGAGCCTGACCAAATGAATATGGAAGCCCAGGATGGCACAGCTGCAAAGTGTGGATCACTGGCATGGACCCTCCATACGATGGGTGGGTGTGACAGGGAACAGTCATGGCTCTGCAGAGAACTACGACCCTTGAAACAATGCTCAGAATCAGGCTTGAAGTCACCCAGCACCAGCATTCCCCAAGGGAGGGAGGGAAGCATCATGGGAGGCCAGCTCTGCTCCACTAAGGGATCATGCCTTGTCAGACAAGCAGTCAGACAAAGGCTGCAGGAGATGGCACATAAACATGCAGAAGGTGGGAGTAAATAGAAAGGAGGGAAACTGAATCACACATGCTGTGTCCACAGCTGGAAAGTGTAGTGAGCAATACGGGTGGCTTTGTGAAAGATGTCAGCAGCAGGTCCAAATTGTCACCAAATATGCCTGTGTGCTGTGTGCTGTGTGCGCTCTGTAATCTGTAAACCGGGCCGAGCCCTGCTCCTTCTCTTGCTCTGTGTGCTTCCCAAAGCACCCTTTCTCCACCACCTGCTCTCCTGCTGTGCACACATGTGGCATTCCCAACCTGTGACTTCCTTTAGCACCCGTCACAGCATCACTGCTCCCATCAGTTCCACGTCACTTACGGCAAACTCCTCGGGAGTCACTTTCAGAACGTCGAAGACGACAGCATCGTAGCTCTTGCTGGCATAGTCGCAGCTCTGGCCCTCCAGCGAGTCTGAGCTGCTGCTGCCCTATAGAAAAGGCAAAGAGAAATGTCACCTGGCTGGTCTGGCCTGAGGCTGCTGCTACCCCAAACCACCCCAGGGAGGACACGATGAACAGTACCTGCTGCTTGTCACTTTGCTCTGCGAGGCTCTCAAACACTATACCATCTTAGTTCTCTGCCTATGCATGCTATGACTATGCACGCTGTGACTATGCATGCTGTGACTATGCATGCTGTGACTATGCATGCTGTGACTATGCATGCTATGACTATGCATGCTGTGACTATGCACGCTGTGACTATGCATGCTGTGACTATGCATGCTGTGACTATGCATGCTGTGACTATGCATGCTGTGACTATGCACGCTGTGACTATGCATGCTGTGACTATGCATGCTGTGACTATGCACGCTGTGACTATGCATGCTGTGACTATGCATGCTGTGACTATGCACGCTGTGACTATGCATGCTGTGACTATGCATGCTGTGACTATGCATGCTATGACTATGCATGCTATGACTATGCATGCTATGACTATGCATGCTATGACTATGCACGCTGTGATGCCCACTGTACAGGTAAGCAAGCTGATGCTATGTCTCCAAGCTTTTTACCCATGAAGCCAAAAGCCAGAATGTGAACCCATTTTTCTCTCTGAACCCCCAAATGGGTTGGATCATTACCCCTCACCGCTTCTGGCCAGCAGTGTAATGACAGGAGAGAGTCAGACCCCAGTGCTGGGGTGTAGCTCAGTGTAGAACACTCGCCTTGCATGTCCAATGTCCAGTTCTGTCTCCAGCACCCAGAAGAGAGACAGGAGCCCTAGCCTAATTCTCCCTATGAACGGCCTCCAGACTCAGGGACCCAGGGAGATTTCCATTCTGAGTTTTTTCTTTTTTTTTTGTTTTTAAAGATCTACTTCTTTTATGCACATGTATGTGTGCCATGTGTGCGTAGGTACCCAGAGAGGCCAGAGGCACCGGCTCCCCTGGAGCTGGAGTCAAGGCAGTTGTAAGCCACCTGGCACGAGTACTGGGAGGCACATTCAGGTCCTCTGCAGGAGCAGCCAGCACTCTTCACTCTGGAGCCATTTTTCAGTCCATTGTTCCTAACTGAAGTCAGCAGGACACTGTCACACACATTAGCTCTGCTCAGAAGGTTGCTGCACACACAGGGCTGGCTGTGAGCTGAGAGGTAACTGTGGAGCTTCGGCAGCTGGTAGGGAGCAGAGTCCCTCTGGTCAGGGTCACAGAGTCCTGCAGGGGAGAACAGGGGCCTCCCACAGGGAACCAAGGGGAAACTCCCCAGCCTGGACAGAGGTCATGAAGCCCACGCCTGAGAAGATGCAAAAAGTCGGACACACCTTCTCTTGAATGTGACTGCACTTCATCAAGTTCCTCCTGGGTACTCCATCACGTTTACTACCCAAACCTGTGCCAACCCATAAATGGTTTTATTCATCTCAAATCATGGAAAAGGAGTTCATTCTACCATCTTAGACATGAGGGGATCTGCTTTTGTGAATTTTTTTTATTTCACTTTCTAGGATGGCTGTATCTGGGAAAATGTTGCAGTCTTACTGGAAACCAGAGTGCTTAGGGGTCACGGAAGAAAGCTAACAGTTATGACAGTGTAACGTCAGAGAGCTGAGAAGAAATGCAAGCAGCCCACCTCGATGCCTGGGCCTGAGGTGTCTATAGGTGAGTCTCTCACACTGGACCCCCACCTGGCCTCAGAGGACTGAGCCCTGTACTCTGCAAGCACGCAGGCCCGGATGAACACGGCCTCGCAGCTGCCGCCGCCTGGCCTCGGGCACTCACTTCACTTCGCTGAGTCTCATCAAGTACAAAATCGTATCATTAAATCCCAGATCCTAGGGCAGCACCACAGGTTCCTAAACAAGCCAAAGGCACCACTGCCACCACCTCCCTCCCCAGACATCCTGGCTCAGGATGTGTGACAGGTGTCATTTCAAAAGTTCGTTAAATGGAAGGCTTTGTCCCCTGAGAATAATCTAATCTGAACAAAGTTGAGAAAAAACAGACTGGCCCTGTGCTGCTGGAAGGAACTGGCCAGGATCTAGATCCAGAAGCTTCACCTGCTTCAAGACACAGTCCGGCCAGGCTGCCGGGGCAGTGCGTTAAGGACACCAACTCAAAAGTCAGGGAGAGTGGGTTTGAACCACCCATCTGCCCAGACAGAGGAACCACAGTTTCTTCTCCCCTCTGTGCTTTGAGTTCCTCACCCATAATCTGACAAAAAGGTGCATAGCTGACAGGGTTACTGTGGAATGAGAGCACCTGGGGAGCACGCAAAAAAAAAAAAACCTATGGTGATCTGGGTGTACATGGAGGTGAAGATGCCATCCAGGCACATGGGGTTGCTAAGCACTTCAATTTACAGGTGTGTATTCATTCCAAAAACCTACAGCCATATACATGGAGGCCCTAAATCTGTGAGTGTTCAAACTCCATGCATATAACACTTAGCATAGAGCCCGCACGTGCATACAGAGCCCACATGTGTATATAGAGCCTACATGTGTCAACCCACATATTCTGAGGCCTCTCCAGATGACTAATACCTAATACAAAATCAATGCTGTGCAAACGTCACTGCTGCCATGTAGAGAACAATGACAAGACAGTCTGCACATACCTGGTGCAGAAGTGATTCTTTTTCTGAACATTCTTGATGCATGGTTGGTGGTCTCATGCACAGAGGGTTGAACATACACAGAGTAGTGTGTGACTATACATATCTGTACACACACACACGCTTAAAGAAGAAGGATGCTTCACTCTAGAGCGAGTGCAGGTTACAAACACAAACAGAAGTGTGGCTCCACTAGCTTCCGGAGTCTGTTCCAGGGATGTCAGGCCTTAAGGCATTTCTTTAACGCCCCAAACCCTCAGGTACAGGGTACCTGTTGAATCAAAAGCAGCCCCAAACCTATTTGCAGGTGAGAGACAGTGGGGATGAGGATGACTCAGCACTCCAGCAAACTACTCTGGCCTCCTAGGGAATGGCATCGACTGGGCTGGAGAGATGGTCCAGTGGTTAAGAGTGGAAAAGCCTGGAGTTCAGTTCCCAGTACCCATACCAGGAAGCTCCCCATCACCTCTTAACTCCAGCTCCAGGGGCATCTGATGCCCTCTGCTGGCCTCCATGTGCATTGCAGCCATGTGAACATACACATGATTTAAAATAAAAATTTTTTAAATCTTTAAAGGCATCAATAAGTTTTTTACTTCAAGACTAGAGATAAATCCAAGAAAAAAAATTTTGAAACACTGATAAGAAAATGATCCCCTGACTCTCTGGTGAGTTCATCTCAGCTCATTTCAAAACTGCCTGTGGGAAGCTCACACTCAACGCTGCTTCACCAACATGCTGAAGAGCTAGAACTACAGCCCAGACACAGTGGCCCCAGCCTCAGATGACACCCCTCCTCCTGGGTGACTATGTCATTATTGAGCTTGGTAAGCAGATCCCAAACCCCTCACAGCGTGCCTGCTTAGGCCATTCAGACCACCAGCCTTTGCAGACATTTCCTAAGAAGCAAGGTAAATAAGTACAGGCCAGCTGGACTAGCTTCTGTCTGACCTCATCTGGAACGCATAGCTTATTTATAATAATTAACAGTGGCTTTTCTTGAGAAAGATCTGATCCCTTCTTGATACCAAAATAGAACGTAGTCCTTGCCATGGCTGGACTGGACAGATATTTTTTTTTCTTTTAAGAGAACAACTTCAGAAAACACCACCATCCACAGGGCTAACTGGCTCCTAGACCTCTTGTCTGAAGTGGCAGGCCCTAAGAAGGCCTGTATTCATGGCTAGAGCCCCAGGTCATGTCTCCCTCCTGCTACCCTCCCATAGCCCTCATACCTGTGGAGTGGCAGAGGTGACCAACATGCTAGCCATCAGACCATTCCTCTTGTACATAGTCTCCAGGCCACAGGGAACTTCAGTGTCACCTCTGTTGGTGACATAACCTGCTGGAGAGGTCCTGCAAGGCAAAGATATCCATAAAAATCTGCTCTGAGCCCACAGGATCATGCCATCTTCCCACAGAAAGGTATGAACTGGTAGTCTTCAAGCTCAGGCCAACAGAAAGGTGTGAACTGGTAGCCTTCAAGCTCAGGCCCTAGAGCCTGTGCCTGTTTCCCTCCATGGAAAATGGTTGTGTCTGTGCCATTACTGAGCTCATACAGAAGGCAGCACATTTAAGACAAATACTGGCGTCCAACAGCTGTATAGCTTCTGCTTCCTTAGTTCTTCTGGGTAGCATTCACCCACATCTACGCCCAACCATCCTGCCCCTTGCAGATTTCTGGGTCCCACCTGTCCATCCATCCCAGGGTGTGCCAGGCGCTCACAAGCCCCAGAATTTGTAATTCCAAATGAGATGAAGGTTGGTGAAGAAACTGGACATCACACTGTGGCATCACAACTGATCCCATAAAGTAGTCAACCATGGACCACATGCTCAATTCCTCCAACTCATTTTCTCCTTTCCACTATCCCAAGGAAGGCCTGTTAATCCTGCCCATTTTCTGTGGAGGAAAACTGAGGCTCATAGAGGTAATGCTCTGGTGCATTTTGCTTAATCTATTCAGCAGCAGCATGACCCAAGAGCCGCTTGAAGATCAGGTCTGATTATTCTGCCTGGACTGCTCATGTGCACACGCTCCAGAGAGAATCTATCACCTCCCAGAACACTGAAAATCACCAGCAGCTTCTCGGCAGAAGAGGGAAGGATCTAGGCACACCATGGAAGCTGACTGCACTTACCCAAGGGTGGGAGCCTTGAGCTGGGGTGGCAAGGGGAATGATGGCTGGGAGACAGCAGAAACAGAGTCCACAGAAAATAATGCAGCACAAGTGAGAGCAGCCAGACCAGACCAGACCATACCCCGCTGTTTACTGCAAGGTACTGAGGGATGATGTAGCTGTCATCAGGGAAGGGACAGAGAGGTGGAGGAGGTCTGGTGGGAAAGTGATAAACTTGACTCAGGGCATGGTGAATCTGTGGCAGATGAGAAAGTCCACCCTGGAGGGGCCTTGAAGGTGCTTAGAGGTGAGGGGCAGGCGCTGCTTCTCCAAGCGACCCGAGTCTATTGTCAAATTCAAGCACCCCTTTAGATGGCTCACAACTGCCTGAATTCTAGCTTCAGGATCCAATTCCATGGGACTCAGGACCTCCACATACTTATGCATATGCATGCATGCATACAGATAGATGTACACCTCTCTCTCTCTCTCTCTCTCTCTCTCTCTCTCTCTCTCTCGCACACGCACACGCACACGCACACGCACACACACCTACTTAATAAGGGGAAAGCCTCCAGAGAAACACAAACCAAACCACAAAGACAGAACTTAAGACCAAACAGGATGTCCAAATTAGGACAACAAAACCCAAACCAAACTAGACTATATCTAGTGGGTTTTTTTGGGGGTGGGGGGTGAAGTCTTTGAGCATTGCTGATGAGAAGACAACTGGTACAAGCTCTTCAGAACACAATTTGGTAGCTTCTCGATTGGTTAAAACAACCCAGTGATCTGATTCACAGGCGTCTACTACAGAGGATGAACACATCTGCACAGATATCCAGAGGATGCCTATCACAGCATTACTCCTCACAGCAAGCCTGGAATCAAGTCAGATGTCTATCACCCAGTGAATAACAAGGCAGTGGGAGCTAGCCACACAGCATGCTACTATTCAGCTATGAAAACAAACGAGCCACTACCACAAGCCACAGCATGATCAAACCTCAAAAACATTACACTAGTGAAACAAAGTCAGATTCAAAGGAATGTACAGAGTGATTCCATTTTAGGAAATTCCCAGAAATGGCAAATTTATAGGGGACAGTGCCCATGGCAGGAGACTGCACACAGACACGGAGTGCTTTTGAGGTGATGAGAGTACTCTAAATCTGGATGACGACAAGGACAACCCAAAAACGTGGGACCTGGGACCTGGGACGATTAAGCTGCATGCACCCTGAGCTTCATGACGGGACCTAACCTGGCCTGCTTGCCATTCCCTTTAAAGTGACAGAGTGAACACCATGACAAACTGAGAAGGGAATGTTAGTTACTATGGAAGAGATGGGACCCAGAACCAAGGAAAAATCCTCCCAGGTAGAGAGTAGACAGGGCCCCTTGATAGAACCTCCATGAAGGGCACAGGAGCTCCAGAATAGGGATCCCAAAACAAATGAAAAATAAACCCAGCTCAAGAGTGCAGTCATAGCAATTTAAGCCCACACCTCTTAGGCTGCCTCAAACCAGCCCAGCCAATCTGCTCCAAGTTCAAGGCTGAGGTATATGTTGCTCCTATCTGCATGCGCCTAGCACTCTGTGAGCATCCTTGGGGCAACCAGGCCTGGACCCCAACCTTCTGAATACAGACCAAATCAGAAGCTCTCTTAAGTTGTTCAGGTGACTGGCTTCTTCCAAAGGATGCTACCATGGCCAGGGAGATGGCTTAGTGCGCAGGGGCATGTGCTAACTAACAAGTCTAAGGACCAGAGTTCACTCCCTGGGACCCTCTTTGTAAAATGAGAGAAGTGATTCCTTTCAAGTTGTCCTCTGACCTCCACATGCATGCTACGGCACGTGCGCTCATGCACACACATATACTCTCTCTCTCTCTCTCTCTCTCTCTCTCTCTCTCTCTCTCACACACACACACACACACACACACACACACACACGTTAAAGGGAGAGAGATGTGCTGCCAGCCCCACCCTCCTCCAGCCCCATTTGCAGACGGGCTCTCTACACACCAGTATCAGAACCCCTCCTGGGGAAGGCACTGGCTAAGCATCCCTTATGTCTCTGCCACAACAGCCCCAGGAAGAACAGATCACTCAGAGCAGACAGGAGGAACTACTTGGATTTCTGGGAAACTGAGGCCCCATGAGTTCAAATCCTGGACAGTCTGCCAGGGCATGAGCTTGCACACATCCTCATAGTGCCTCCCACCACAGGACAGAAAAGGCATGTGAAACACTTCTGCAGGCCAGGTCAGCTGTTATTCCTTACTGTAACACTACTGTCAGCTGTTATTATTACTGCAGCATTACTCTCAATGTCATTACTTACTGTAGCATTGTGCCCTTCCCTTACAAGCTTCTAGTTATACGGTCCCATTCTCTGGTCCTATGCAAACTATTAGCTTTTTTTTTTTTTTTTTTTCGAGACAAGGTTTCTCTGTGTAGACCAGGCTGGCCTCAAACTCAGAGATTCACCTGCCTCATCTCCCAAATACTGGAATTAAAGGCATGTACCATCACTCCCCGGCAAACAATTAACTTTAAACATTAAACAAGCAAACCAGAGCTCTGTGCTGTGAAAGCATGGGCTTCCATTGCTGGGACAGACGTTACCGTAGTGGGTTCCAGAGAAGCAAGCAGAGTGGTGAAGCACAGGGCCATCTCATCTAAGAGTCTGGACCTGTCTTCCCCTTCCCCTGGCCCCAGTCTCCCTGGAGAAGATCCTGCCCATGTGTAGCCCATCATATTTTCCATGGAAGGCAGAAGCTAGAAAGAAAGCCTAAACGCTTGTTTCTGTCTGACTCCTGCATGTCTCGACATGACAGAAATAGCCTCATAGATGGACAGCAGCTCTCAAACAAGAGATCTATGTGCAGAAAACTGCAGGAGCAATCGGACGGAGCAACACTGCTCTCATCCAGGTCAGGTCCTGAGGCTACTGAGTACCTGGGCTGGGACCTGGCAGGAAGCAGTGGGCAGATAGGCTAGGGCACAGCAGAAGGACATTGTAGGCTACAGGGAGGAGTTCATGGAGCTGTACAGGCAGCAGTGTGGTGGTTGGGGGCTTACAGGTTTTCCCTGGAGGTACTGGGAATCCTGTAATATTTTATTTCTATTTAGTGTACATGTGTGTGTGTCTATGTATATTCCTATGTGTGTGTCTTTATGTGAGTGTGTGTGCACACATGTGTGCACGCACATCCTGTATATACTCTGATATACCCTCAGAGGCTAGAAGAGAGCACTGAGTCCCTTAGAGTTAAAGTTACAGGCAGTTGTAGGGCTGGGAACTGAACTGGCCCAGGAGAAGAACAGAAAGTCCTACTAATCTCTGAGCCTTGTCCCCAGCTCAGCATGCATGGATTCTGAAGGAATGGGGCAGGCTTATTTTTCCTGCAGCATGAAGATGTGTGTAACTGGGGCATTAAAAGGGTCAACATGGGCCCACTAAGAAGAGCCACAGTGCTGGTATGAAGCATGAGAAAGGATCTTCCTGGTCAGACGATGAGAGGTGGGCCTCAAGCATGTAAGCACAGCATAGGGCACTGAGAACAATCAGCAGAGGCCCCTTCTCACCTCCTCAGCTGTGTCCTTGGATTCTCAGGTGTTGGGAAAGCTCAGGGAGCAGGACAGGAGCCTGTGTGGCCATAGCATCAGTGTCTGCCTCTGTTCTCCCCTCAGCTGATGAGAAGTGTCCACCAGCCCTTGTTCTGTGCAGAGGCTTTCAGCCCTGGACCCTAAGGACGGCAAACACAGCTTGGTCCTCAGTGCCTCTGCCACAGTCTGTTACACAGAGACTTTGTCCCAGACTCTGGAGACAGGATTTATGTGCCTTCTGTAAAGCCCATCTGTGGTGTTCGGAATGAAAGTGGCCCCCATAAGCTCACAGGGAGTGACACTATTAGGAGGCGTGCTCTTGCTGGAAGAAATGCATCCCTGGGAGTGGACTTTGAGGTTTCAGATAGTCAAGCCAGGCCCAGGGCCCTCTCTCTTCCTGCTGCCCGTGGATCAGGATATAGAACTCTCAGCTCCTTCTCCAGCAGCATGTCTGCCTGCATGCTGCCATCCTTCCCACCGTGATGATAACAGACTATAAACCTCTGGCCTATAAGCCAGTCCCAAATAAATGTTTTTCTCCTAAGAGCTGCCATGGTCATGATGTCTCTTCACAACAACAGCAATACTAAGACACCATTTTGCAGATGTGAATACAGTGACT